TCATGTGAAGATTTCAGAGCTCTAGGAGGGTGATGCCAGGGGGTTTGGAGGTCTGCGGAGCCCATCGCCTTTCCTCCCAGACCTGTTCCTCCAGCCTTCTGGACTCCAGGCCTCAGGGTCACCTTTTATTCTCTCTGCCCCTGGCCGTGCTCTGCCAGGTGCCAAGTCTTTCTACTTCTACTTCACAATGTGGTTCACATCTGCTCCCCTTACAGCCCCACTGCCCAAGTCCCAGGCCACAGCCTCCTCACTGGCCCTCTTGCCCTAGACGCTCCCCTAACTAGTCTCTGCCTATATTGTACCCCCCAGAGCAGAGCTCTGGTGTTGCCAGCTGGTCATCTCTTTTCCCACTCCTGTGTTTCAACTGAATGGAACAACCCATTACTCCCATCCAAGCCTCACTCTAAACCTTTAATAATCTACTTTATCTTAGTTTCCCTGAAAGCAGAACCTGAATAATTTGTTTAGGAACACAGACCAACAAGCAGGGGTGAGGGAAAGGGGCAGTGGGACAGGGAAGAAGGGAGAGCCAGTACCGAGATGCCTTATCCAGTTGGCCCCGCTATGCTGACTGGTGGCTTGACCCTTGGGACTGTCTAAGAAGCCTTATGAAGTGTGTCTGAGAAGCTTCTGTCCCGGGAGTGAAGCAGGAAGCATCTGTCCATCGGCTCCCATTCCCATGGCTGACGGGTTCTCTATAGGTGGCTAACCCTCCCAGTCCTTTGTTGCTAGTGTGTGGGAGCTGAGCAGCCCCCAGAAGCATCCCTGGGCGGAGAGTAAATGGCACGTGGCAGGGCACCTCCTGGTTGCTCCCGGGAAAATGGTCTCTACCGCAGTGGCTGGAGTAGGAAGCGAGCCAAGGGGACTTGAGGTGGTGTACAAAAGGTATCCATCCCACCATGGGCTTTCAGAACGCGTGTTTCTTCCCTTCAGCCCTTCCAGCCGCAGGTTTTCCCTCCTGCCCAGGGACAGAGGGGGCTGGGGGAGAGGCAACTCTGGGCCCTGTGTGGGTGACCTCCACTCATACTCCCAGAGCCTGAGCTCTCCCTCCCTTGAAGGGGTTTTCAGGGGAGGCTCTGTGAGACGTGTACTCTCCAGTTGGCTGGGTCATCCTGTGGGCCTCATGGAGAGCCCAGGGATGCTGATCTGTGGGCTCCTTGCTCTCTCTTAGCTTAATGTTCATTCTCCTTCCAAAACCTCAGAAATCCTCTCTCTTCTTTTTCCTGTCTCTCCTGCATCATCCCCCTACCCCAGCCTGGGTCCCCATGGTTAGGTTTATCCAAACTGAAGAGATGTTTCTGTACTGGCCCAGCTTCCTCTCTAGTTGACTGTGCGTGTGTGTGTGTGTGTGCCCGCACATGTGCATACCTATTTTATTCTACCTGGCCCGTCATTCTCCCTCCGTGTCCTCCAAATGCCTTCCCTGTGAAAGTTATTTCCCTGGCATCAGGATACCACCTGGGAAAACAGAGGGCTCCCTGCAATGCAAGTTGAATCACAATGAGAAACCCACATTCCCAGGAAGTCTACAGTTAAAAGGACCAAGGGTGACAATTGTTGAGACTGTGGAGTGTCTGGGACCCTCGTACTTTGCTGGGGTGGCGTAAGCTGGCACAGTCAGTTTGGAAAACTGTTTGATGCTGTATACGAGAGTGAACACATGTACACGCACAGACCCAGCAATTCCACTCCTGGGTATAGGTGCTCAAGACGTATACAAGAATGTTCAGAGCAGTTTTGTTCAGAGTAGTGAAAAACTGGGAGAAATCTAAGTGTCCATCCACAGGAAAATGCATAAATAAACTATAGCATATTTATACAATAAACAGAATGAAGTACTGTTATATACCACGTGGGTGAGTCTCGCAGGCATAATGTTGAGAGAAAGAAGCCAGACACCAAAGAATATAAATTCATAATTCTATTTATATGAAGTTCAAAAATAGGTAGAACGAATCTAGGTGATACAGGTAAGAATGGTGGGTTTGGGGGAATATTGACTGGAAGGGAATATAGGGAGCCTGTGGAGGTGCTGAAAATGTCTTATTATCATGATTTGAGTGGCAGATACATCCTGGGTGTATACATAAGCAAAAATTAATCAAGCTGTGTACCACTGAAGGCTGGAATATTTTACTGCATGTAAAAAATAAAAGAAATGAAGGGATAAATGAACAGAGGGCTCCCTGGAGTTTCCTATGCCACCATAACCCAAGGAGCAAGGGTTGAGGGGCTCACTCTCGAGGCCTTGCACCCTTAGATAATTCTCACGGCTTCTCCTGTGTCTCATCTACACAGTCTGTGCACACTGAACATTTTGAGCTTGTGGGGATCTACTCAGGCCCCCAGAGTTGGTATAAATGTTATTTTAAAGTGGCAACATTGAAGAAGTTACAGAAAGCAATGTTATTGCAACTTTCTTTATGTGACTAAAGCAACACCTTCCAAAAATGCAGCTGCCATATCCCCCTCAGAGGCATTTTCCAACCAGCTCAGGGCTCCTGGAGACAGATGGCCCATAGAATGTTTTTCACTTCCCCAAGGAGGCCCCACCCCCACGGCCACCCCCTCATTGAGTTTGGTAAATACACCTTTATTTCTGGCTGTTTAGTGAGTTACTCACTACTGAGCAACTTCCTGGTGTACATGTAAATAAACTTTGTTTTTTCTCCTGCTAATCTGTTTTTTCTCAGTTACTTTGCAGGTCTCCAACCACTGGACCCCAAGTTTTTTTCTTTTTTCCATAGTATTCGTTCCTATATAATTCACTGATTTATTATGTGTATTGTTTGCCATTTCTCCCACTAGGAAATTAGTTCCATGTGGCAGAGATGTTTTACTAAGCGATATATTCCAAGTGCCTAGAAGAGTGTCTGGCATACAGTTGGTGCTCCAAATATGTTTGTTGAGTTAATGAAACTAGCCTCCTATGTTAATTCTGGGTGAAAGCTGAGTTTGGCTGAAAAAAAGGGTCCACAAATTGTCTGAATAGGTTGTTAGGGCCCTGAAGCTAACAGTCATGTGCCCAGGCTTGGAAATTCCCTCAGAAACAGAGGAAGATGCACCAGACAAATTCAGCAAACCCGGGGGAGCATCCAGCCACGCTTCCCTCTTAGGGGGTCCCTCGCCTCCGTATTGGCGATGGCTGGAGCTGGGCTTTGGATCATTTACACCATGGGAATAAAAAGAGGGGAAATGGAGAGGGCAAGTCCCCCGTGGGGGTGAAAAAGCACCTAGAATACCTCTCTTTGTAGATGAAGTCACTGGCTGCTGGAATGAGGAAGTCCCTTTCCCGGGGAGTACGACTGAGTCCCTTTCCCAGGAAGGAAGGGAGGTGGCAGGAAGGGGCTGCATTCTTGCAGCATTCTTGCTGGATCTCTCCTCGGCTTCTCCAGGAGGCACCCTCACACTAGATCACACTGCTAGACAGGGTCGAGCAGAATTCAGGTCATCGTTGTAGCCCTGGCCCCCTCTCCCCACCTGAAACACCCCCAAAGGGAAAGCCATCCTTCCATTTTATACAGTGAATGACTGAGGTTGAACGGGAGAGCTCAGCCTTTCAGGAGTACTGTACAGATTAACAATATGGTTGGAACCGGAGTCCAAGATCCTGGATCTGGGGTTTTATCCCAGAGGGAGCCCCTCTTCTCATAGAGTCTCCCCTCACCGCGTGCCCTGGAATGACGCTCTCCTCCTTTCAGCAGCAGAGCCCTTTACCCAACGCAGGGTAAGTTCCAGGAGACAGTGACAGACCCAGTGCAGAACCTCAGGCTGCAAGACTGCATGGCCGCGAGGATTTCAGAGCTCTTGTTGACCAAAGCCCAGAGAGGACAAATAACTTGTCTAAGATCACACAGCTCCTAGGCCACCGTTAAAAAAGAAGCAGGAAATAGAATCTGGACTTTCTGATCCTACTTTAAAGTTCCTTCTAGCCCTGAGATTTTGTCATTTCTTGATGCTGATCCAGTCAGTTTCCCTCTTCTCTAGAGGAAATCCCCAAGGTACCCTGTCTGACCATTGGCTGTGGCTTTAACAGCTCACTGGTCCCTTGTGGGGATAAGACTCTAAGACATTTGGATATATATTCAGTAGCTGATTCCCTTCTTTGTGGCCAAATCCCCTAAATTTCCCTAGGTCATCATTCTCACACTTCCCTCTTCCCAGACCCTTTTCCTTCTCCAGCTAGTGCCTTCTCCACCCTGCACCTCCAGGCTGGCGGAGGGACATGGTCCTGGGTCCGACTGGGATGCAGAGTCACAGGATGCGACAATGGAAGGATGGTAGAATCAGAATCCTGCCTGCCCCACACTGGAGAGCTGTCTCCTCCAGACCTCAGGGCACTGTCCCTTCCCTCTGCTGCTTGAGGATCGGAGCAGACATCAGGGCTCTCACTCATCTATTGAGCACCTAAGATGCAAGTTTTTGGTGAGCACCATAGCAGGCACTGTGTAAGAGTTTACTCTCTCATGCAATCCTTACAAAACAGTCCAGCAGGGTAGGAATTATGCCCATTTAACAGCCAGGAAGGTAAAGTTCAGAAAGTTTCTCTAATTTGCCCTATATTATACTAATAAAGTCTAAGATTAGGAATGGGACCCAAGTCTAACTAAAATCCCAAGCCCTCGGCATAAGGGGTGGGGAGGGTGGAAGGGTGGTGGGAAGGGGGAAGGTTTGTGAAGCCCCATCTTCCATGACCTCCTGGGCTGCAGGACCAAGGGGTGGTTATCACTGTGGAAATGATTCCACATCTTCAAATCCAACTTCAGAGAAGAGAGGTCGCTGGGTAAGGCGGCAGAGGGTTATCTTGCTGACAGCCCTTGACATGCAACCTGCCAGCTCTCAGCTGCATCTATGATCAGCTGGCTGCAATCTGGAAACTACTTGGTCACACCTAGGCAGGCGGCCGGCCCCTCCTCCCTGGGTAGAGGAAGCAGGAACAGGTGGCTGTGCGAGGCAGTGGGGCGGTCTGCTGGGCAGCGGTGGCTGGAGTCCCAGCGAGGATGGGCTCTCTCTGGGCCCTGGCTCTGCCCCTTTTCTTCTGCTGCTGGGAGGCTGGGGCCCCTGGCAGCTCTGCAGGTAAGAGGGTTAGAGGGTCCTGTGGGCTTCTTTCCTGGCAGCACTCTGGGTGTGCATTTTTGTTCCTACAATCTTTTGTGGGTAAGGGTAGCTCTCTTGGGCTAATTATAATGAACCATAAAGCTATATGTGAAGTATTACTTTTATTATCTAACAGGAAGAGTTGTCTACCTGGCACTAGCAAAACCAAATACTAAACACCAAGAATTGCAGTGCAGAAAGACTGGCTATTTTATTGATGAATGGCGCCATCCAGGGGAAGGGGAAGCTAGTGCTCAAAAGTCCAAACACCCCAATGTCATGTATGTAACAGATTATATAGGGCAAAATCACAAGACATCACGGGTTGGGGGTTTGGGGTCACTCTGGGAGCTGATTGGTTGGAGGTGAGGTAAGGGTAATAAATTATTTCTTCAGGTCTCGAGGACGGCTCTGAGGTCTGGTCTCAGCAGGAAGAAGCCAGAGGGCTCAGGAACTGAAACATAACTTAAGTCAGATGTTGTCTTTAGCCTGCAGGAAGTCCAGACCTTGTGATCATTAGTCAGGTACTGGCTACTGTCTTCCCTTGCCTCAAGGGTTGCTGATTATGGGAGAAAGTCTGTATGTGTGTGTGTGTGTGTGTGTGTGTGTGTGTGTGTGTGTGTGTGTGTGGAGTGGGGGGAGAGAGAAAGAGAGGGAGAGAGGGAGAGAGGGAGAGAGAGATGATTTCTAGAGCTAGTATTTAAAGCTAAATTTAATCAAAGTCATAGTCATAAGTCCCCTGGTTTCACTGTTATTGATTAAGAGTATGCGTGTATGTGTGACACTGAGGTCCATACGAATGAGCAATATCACTTTCTGCCTGTGGGAGTGGGAGCAAGTGGGGGGCAGGCAGGTGCAGGCTGGTGATAAATATGACTAAAGCCAAAGAATGTGGCTTGACAAGATCCTGACTCCTCCGTGTTTATCCTTTAAAATGCAGTTTTGTGTGGAACATGTGACTCTCACAGACCGCTTGGGGAGGGTGGATGCTGAGAGCTAGGACTTTCATGAAAGAAGAGAGCTAAGGAGAAGAACGGGTGGACTTTGGACCCCGAGTTTGAATTCTCTCTTACATTGATCTATAATAGGAGCTGTGCCAAGCTTGTCACATGCACTATCTTTTTTCTTCTTCTTCTTTTTTTAATGGACTTTATTTTTTAGAGCAGTTTTAGGTTCACAGCAAAATTGAGCAGAGAGTACAGAGATTCACACACACACACACACACACACACAGCCTCTGCCACTATCAATATCCTGCACTACAGTGGTACCTGGGTTACAATCAATAAACCTCCATTGACACATCACTATTATGCATTATCTTCCCCCCCCCCACCCCCAGCTTAAGTAATAAAATACATTGAGAATTCCTGGGATGGTTATTGCCTCCCAACCTCGAGGGAGGAGCCAACACTGTAGGAAATTACTGAGAAATCACACAGTGTCCCAACAACCCCAGCCAACACAGGGAGGAGGAAAGTCATTCTCCTGAAAATGGGTCTGTCTCATTCACCTGAGAAGGGCTGGGAGGGCAGATGCAGAGGGGACCATCACACGGCACTGGGGGAGGGGCAGGTGTGCTGGACCCCAAGCTGGGTCCCCAAACACCAAGGCAGAAACAGATCCACTTCTTTGCAGGTGCAGTTCTTGGTCATCAGGCTCATATTTCTTACCTTGATAACCCTATGAAAAAGATATGATTCCTACCCTTCCCCCTCCCCTGAAGGTGAGAAGACTGAAGTTTGCCAGGATTAAGTAACTCATCTGCAGAGCGGGGATTGGGTGCCACACATGCCCCACCACTGGACACACCAACCACCTCTTGCATGCACTCTGATCTGCAAGGCTTGCGCTGCACATTTTACATTTAACTTAATCTAAGCTTCGCAACCCTTCCTCTCCACCAGTTTGATGTGAGGAATGGAGCACGAGAGTTGCAACATTCTAGAGCTATAGAGGCCAGGGTGGATCTTGAGAAAAGCCAGTTTTGAGGCCTTCTGTTTGAGAAGACACCTGGTGGGTGAGAGATGGGGGTGAAGGGTTGTGAGAGGCCAGGAGATGAAGAGGCTGTGGGTTTGGGAAGCAGGATGACACCACAAGGCTCCTGGGAAAAGACAAGATTGTGTCAGGGAGGTCAGTGGTCAGACCCCAAGAACCAGAACCACTGCTTTGGCTTCAGGCTGTGTGGGCTGACCCAGAAAGCCTCTGCTTCGCCTGTGTGGGGACCGAAGAGGCTCAGAGAAATATATCGGGCTTTGAAAGTATATTCCTGTAAAAGTGTGATTTGGGTGTGTGGTTAGACTGCCCTGGACGAGTCATGAGATCAAATGCCGTGACCTGCCTAATGGGCATGTGGGTATAGCAAGAAATTCTCACTGATTAAAATAGGTCATGTGCTCTCAAGTGACTCCTTGGAAGAACCCAGTTCGGGAGGGATGCTTAATAACCCTCTGCAGGCTTTGGAATAGAAGAACTTCCCTATTTCCTTTCTCCTCTTCGTCTTCGCCACCACCACTGCAAGGCAGAGATTGGGACCCTCCTTCCCCGGGAGGAGATGGGGACTTGGAGAGGTCTAGTGGCTGGCCTGAACTCCAGAGCTAGTAAGCCGCAGACCTAAGGCTGGAACCCAGCCTCCTGCCTCTGGGCCCAGTGCTCTTTCACCATTCAGTGGGAGACACAAGAGGACAACCTGAGGACCTGGGGCCTCACCGTGACACCCTGGGAAGAAGTGACCACTTGGTTCCGACCTCCTTTAAGTCCTTGGGTACTTTTGGGCCAGCAGATTGCAGTAAAGACCATCTCAAGCCATCAGAACCCTGAAAAGGGGGCTTATATTTTGGCCCTTTTCCTTCCAAGAGTAGTGTTACTAGTAAAACACAGGGTATTATCTTAAATTTGAATTTCAGGTAATAAAGTACTTTTAGTATAAGTATGTCTCAAATATTGCATGTGAAATAAATATACATGCTAAAAAATTATTTATTATTAAAATCATTCCTTGTCTATCTGAAATTAAAATTAAAATTTAACTACTAAGCATCCTGTATTTTTATTTGCTAACTCTGGCAACCCTCCCCAGGAGGCTTCTTGGCCCACTTACAGAGAGAGCACCTCCCCTTTGATATGCAGGAGAGGCACCTTTGTCAACCTATAAAAGAGCCTGTTGTACCCTCTCTCAGCGGCAATGAGCACCTGCTGACCCTCCACTCACACAACCTCAGAGGGTTGGTCAAGTGAATAGACATTGTGCCCTATGGAGAAACGCTAGGAGTGTCTCTCTAAAAACTGAAGTTTGGCCTCACCTGGCTCCCTGTTATTTGTGAAAAATGCCTGGAACGTCATTTCTGGCATTGTGGGGGTCCACCCCCATCATCTCAGGTCCATGTTAAGGAGAGGTTTGATCAGGGATGGGAAGCTGGCGCCTTTCCCTTTGCTAGAGTCCCAAAGACTGCCTGCTCCCCTCCTTTTTGCAGCAACCACCACCCACACTCTCTGGAGATTCTTCTCTCCTAATCCCCCCAGCCGCTTCTAAACACAAAACCACAGATGCTTGCTATATTTGAAGTGCTTTTACTTCCATGGGGAAACATTTATTGGATAAGAAAGGTATTGATGGGAAGGTGACAAGGCTTCTTTTAGAAAGTTCTGAGAGTGTGGTCCTTGCTCTGCAGTTCTTGGCTCACGTGGACTTACTTCTGCCTTCTTTGCTTTCCCTTCTTTGACCAACAATCAACTAGATTCTGGGGCTTGCTTGCCTCAAGTGGGCTGTTTAGGACGATCCCAGTTCCCTGGCTGCCACATGGGACTGGTCTTCCCATTACTATTTCCTTCTTCCTTGTAAATATAGATGACAAATGGGATAAAAGCAACTTCTCCTCCCACCCTCTTCCCAGCAGTGCCCAGGGCATAAACATAAGAGCTTGGACTGATGGTTCACAAAGTTGTCTTACCCAACACAGGCCCCAGCACCCATGGACCAAGCACCTTGGTGACAATGAACCACACAGAAGTGCCTGCTGTGACTCTGGGGGTCAACACAAGCTCAGAGGGAGCCTCCAAGGCCACTGATCTTGCTGAGACCTCTGTGTCAAGTCACATTCCTTTAGCAACGCAAACCCTGGGCACCCAGATCTTTGATAAGACCTTAATCCCAGCCAGCACCATCTCAGAAGCAGAGACCAGGGAAACCAAAACCCTATTTCCTGCAACAGAGACCAAGACCCTCACAAAAATAACACCTTCCAACTTCATGGTTGTGATCACCACTTCTATGGAGACATCAGCCACAAGTGACAGCCCTTCAGGAATTGAAATGACTACAGTTGAGACTGTTACAGGTAGTGATCTCCCAGAAGTCGTCTTTTACATCGTTTGTACTGATGACAGCTCTGAAGAGGCAAAAAGGATCACAGTTGACGCCTTGACATTGGCTCACACCTCTGCAGAAGCCAGGGCTCTGGCCTTGGAGAACAGCTCAGTTCCAGCCATCATCACCTCACAAACCCTGGCACCTGACATCACTGTTCCACCTGAAGCCTTGGTCGCCTACAAAATCACCAACATCGAGGTTACCAATTGCGACATAGAAACAGAAGCAACTGCCTTCATCCCTGGGACCTCAGACATAGATCACAGCCCCACAGGAGGAAAGACCCTGTCCACCCCTGGGATATCAGCTTTGCCTGACTTCAATGAAGCAATATCACACCTCACCAGGACCACAACCTCTTCTGAAACCTTGTCAACAGCCAGCACCACAGAATCAGTCACACCTGATACCACAGTTGAGCCCCCACATGCAACCAATAGCCTCACAGGAGAAACAACAGCAGCCAAGGTGACCAACCCCAGTGGAACTTTGGTGACAGTAAGCACAAACCCCTTGGAAGAAACCTCAGCCCCCTCTGTTGCGACAAGAAGACACACTGAGGTCTTAGAAGCAGTTGCAATCTCCACAGAGGCTGGGTCAACAGTGGGCAGAGCAACTTCCTCTGCTGGGTCCTCAGCTATAGTCTACAGCCTCTCAGAAGTAGCCACTGTCAAGGAATCCACCCGCTCAGAGACTTCTACCACAGACAGCACAACCAGTGGGCCCGTTCCCATCAGCAGGAGCCCTCTTCCTTCTGTCCATCTGACTACAGCCAACAGCAGCCAAGAAACAGACATCGCCTTAGCCAAGACCACAGCCTCAGCAAAGAAGACAGCCAGCACAGCCGGAGGGAAGTCCCCAACAGCCACACCCACCACTGCTTGGACAAGGTGGACCACAGAAGTTACTACAGGTAAGAGGCTGCCCATGTGTGTCTTGGGGAATTTGGGGTTTAGAGTCCCCAGGATGTCTACATGCTTAAAAAGTGGGGGGAGGAAGGAAGGATCTGGGAGCCTATTCTGAGCCCTATCTCTGATGTCGCCTCTTTATGATCTTCTAGAACTCTTGCTAAAGTCAGTAACAAGCAGAGTTAGAGCAGTGTACGGACAGAGTGTGGGGCTGGAAGTCTGGATAAATGGTTTGAGATCTTGGCTCTGCCCTTAACAACCTGAGTGACCTATGACAGATCCCTCTCCTTCTCTGGGCCTCAGTTTCTCCACCTGTAGCTGGAGGGGGTTGCAATGAATGAACAATGAGGTCCTTTCCAGCTCTGCCCTTCTATGAAGTTAACTGGAGTAACTACTGTGCTCCAGGCAAAGCCCCCAAGTTTATTTAAAAGACATAGCCCTCATGCTCTGGAAGCCTCTGGTTCAGCCAGAGTCACACAGAGGAGCACTATGCGGGCACCTGGCCCAAGTTGCTGCCCTCTGAGCAATTGAGACCCCATGAAAGTGGGGCTCACTGGATGCACTTGCTGGGGTTGGCACCATAAATGGTGACAAAATAAATAAACTGGGCAAAGGTGTGGGAGTTTTAAGCTACATCTTTGGGACAACAGCTAATTCTCAGAGAAGAAATCCCTTGTCCAAGGCTGCTTGGTCAGCTCAGCTCGTGGCCAGCCTGTGGCCTCCACCTGCACTTTCTGTCACTCTGTCCTCATTCCTCATCCGCGCAATATCCTGAGCCTGCCCTGCCTTTCTGAGAGGGTGAAATAAAATCTTTAATCACAATCACCTTGCTGAATTCTTTTTGTATTGCAGGCAGAGGTGATATAAAAATGTTGCACAACCAGTAACATTGGCACCAGCTGAATGTTTTCTCTGATGCCAAGCAGTGCACTGTGAACTTTGCATGTTATCTCCTCTAATTAAATATTCAACCCACCATATGATGGGGGGGACTGGGTGAAAAACGTGAAGGGATTGAGAAGTAGAGATTGGTAGTTACAGATAGTCACAGGGATGTAAAGTACAGCATAGGGAATATAGTCAATAATGTAATGACTATGTGTGGTGCCAGGTGGGTGCTTGAAATATCAGGGGGAAGATTTTGTAAAGTATATGATTGTCTAACCACTATGCTGTACACCTGAAACTAATATAAAATAATATTGAATGTAAACTATAATTGAAAAATAAAATTAAAAAGTGATAACCTAAAAAACCCATCACTTGAGGTGGGTATCATTACCCCATATGGCAGGCCAGGAAACAGATTTAAAGAAAAAAGAGAGCAGCGGGGTTCCAAATGAAAGCCTGTTTGATACCCAAACCCATACTGTATTTTTATTTTTAAAAACTCAATTTATCAATATGTTTTTATTTTAAAATGCTTTTCTTTATTATTTGTTCATGAGATGGTACCATATGATTTAAAATTCAACAGGTACAAAAGGATACNGAATGCTTTTCTTTATTATTTGTTGATGAGATGGTACAGTCATATGATTTAAAATTCAACAGGTACAAAAGGATACACCATAAAATGTCTCTCTCCCACCGTTGTCCCCCAACTACCCAGTTTCTTCACACACATAACTGATGGTATTACTTTCTTGTGAATCCTCTTCTGGACATGAAATATGTATATGGAATTATCAAAAGGNTGGACGTGAAATATGTATATGGAATTATCAAAAGGAGAATGAAAGACTTCTATAAAATATCAGTGTTGATATCTATATCTATATAAACATATAAAGATATAGATAGATAGATCTTCCTTTTTATGCATGTAGAGTGTATAAAAAAGACAGATTTCTGAAATAAGGCTATTTTAATAAAAAAAAAATCTTTATTGATTTCAGAGAGAGGAAAAAAGAAGGAGAGATAGAAACATCAATGATGAGAGAGTCATTGATCGAGCCCGGAACCCGGGCATGTGCCCTGACCGGGAATCGAACCCTGATCGCCTGGATCCTAGGTCGATGCTTAACCTCTGAGCCACGCCTGGCTGGGCAAGGCTATTTTTTAATGGCTGCTCAGTATTCCATTTTGTTTTATCATAATTTATTTAACCAGTCCTCTATGAGGGAAAGGAAGGTCCTGTGTGAACACAGACATGTTTACACATGAGAGTGAGCACATATATGGGGAGTGGGCACAGAGGCTGGGTAGCCCCATTCATGTCTTGATTCCTGAACTGAAGTCCCCATATTTTTATCTTCCTACTGTTCTCAACTTGCAGGTGGGAATGAAGGCTTCCTCCTCCTGAGACTGAGCGTGGCCTCCCCAGAAGACCTCACTGACCCCAGAGTGGCAGAGAAACTGATGCGCCAGGTGAGTGGGCATTTTCTGGGCCAGAGGAGTGAGAGATTCTTGGGAACTCCTGGGAAGATTTGCAGGATACAAAGGGGCAACTGTTACACTTGGGAGGAGTCTAGTTTCTTATGGAGTAGTAGAAGCTAAATTTAAGGATCCCTGCCTAGCTTTGCTTCTGCCTGTTTTTCCTGAGTNTATGGAGTAGTAGGAGTTAAATTTAAGGATCCCTGCCTAGCTTTGCTTCTGCCTGTTTTTCCTGAGTTCTGAATTCCCCTCTCTGCTATGTAAAAAGTNTCTCTCTGCTATGTAAAAAAGTTCTTTTTTTCACCCTCAATTTCCTTAGGCCCTTAGAAGGTCAGAGCCTCTGGCCTCTGGGAGAAGGTCAATCATATTAATGGGGAGATANCCTCTCTGCTATGTAAAAAGTTCTTTTTTTCACCCTCAATTTCCTTAGGCCCTTAGAAGTTCAGAGCCTCTGGCCTCTGGGAGAAGGTCAATCATATTAATGGGGAGATAGGCAGAACTTTTGGTTGCAAGTAGCAGAAACCCAATTCATCATAGCTTATACAGAAAAGGCAAAGTATTGGCTGAGAAACCTAGAAGTAGCTGTCCCAGCTTCAGTTACAGCTGGATCCAGCAGCTCACACATGATCATCAGAGTTTTCTTTTTCTCCCCTTAGCTCTGCTTCCTTCATTCTTCAGAGTCTCTCTCCACACGCAAAGAGAGGTGGCTGTGACAGCCCTACAATCACAAGGCACTTTCTTTCCCAAGTTAATCATATCATACTAGGGAAGGGCTGATCTCACTGGCCTACAAGGGCCATGACTGACAGCCCAACCTGAACCACGTGGAATAGGAAGGATAGACCCCAAAGGAAATAGGGATGCTAGGCAGAAAACAACCCATAGATGTATGCTCTAGATGGGGACCAAGATTGTACAATTTGGGAAAATTCTCCTAAAACCCAGATCACCGAACAAAGCTTCTAGTGGTAAAATTCTGGGTTAGGGCTTTTGGGGATGGTTGAATCTTTGTAAGGCTAGAATGGATCAGCTCAGCCTAGCTCTTGTGCCCAAATATGCTACCAGGGATTGGGAAAATGTGGGCCTTTGAAATTCTCTTAGGGGGAGGGAAGCTCATCAGACCCCCATGATACATAGTTCCCTGAACATGGCATGCAGGTTTTGAAGCAGGACGGCCAAATAAAGGACAAATGCCCACTGCACGTGATAATCAAAGTAGCAAGTGTGAATCCCAAAGAGGGAAGCAAGGCTTGTGTCATATCTGAGCTCCCCCAAACTGGAAACTACTTCAGGAAAGAGGTCGCGGGGGTGTTGGGCGTCAGTTCTTGGGGAGCTGGCCATTAGTGTAGGGCTCAGGGGTCAGACAAACCACCAACTTTAGAGCCAGATAGATCTGGGTGTGAATTTCAGTTCCTAACTGTGTGACATTGGGTAAGTTACTCCATATTACTTTTCTCTCTTCTAGATAAGGCTAACACTACCTGCTTTATAAGGTCACTGTGAGGTTTAACCCTTTGCAGGTTAACTTTGTCTACTCTCAACCACCAAAGCTTTTTTACCGTTCCAGTCGTATGTCTGCTCTCAGCCACCACAGCAAGGAACTGTACGAATCTTAACTCCATTCATGTATCAGTTCATAAATCTTGTTTATCCTTCATAATCTTGCATGTTATGTATCACTGCTCTTTCAATGGAAATTAATTCCGACCAGTACGACACCCATGTCCAAATTTAATACGACCGCAAAGGGTTAAATGACAATGTGCACAAAGCACCTAGCCCATGCCCAGCCTGTCGCTGCCCTCCTCACTTGTTCTCTCCCGCTGTCCCTTCCTGCCCTGGGTCTGTGGGGAGCTCGTGGGCCAGATGGGCTGCAAGTGCTCACCGGTCCTTTTGCCCTCCAGCTGCGCCATGAACTGCGTGCCCACCTGCCTCCCGTCCGGGTCTCCCTGCTGAGTGTGAGGAGGGGCTAAAGAGCGACAGCTGCAGCCAGGCACGGCCGGGTGCCAAGAGGGAGGCAGTGCTGCCCACGGCCTGGGGCCCGCTGCAGACTGGAGCCTGTTACGGCACCAACATGTACCTGGAAGGTTCCCAGGGAGGTCAGCTGGCCTAACCCCTTAACCTAGATGGCAGCGGGGCCCCGGCTCATCTATGCCCGAGGGTATCTGTGTGGGGAGTGTGGCATCCCTGTTCCATGTCCTTGGACTAACCTTGGCACATAGGTTGTCTTTCAGTGAAGAGTGACCTGATCACACACCTGCCTTCGACTGTGTGCGTCCGTCCTACGGTAAAATTACACTCAGTGTGGCGCAGAGGTTATCTATTTGACCTGTGTGTTTTTGACATTTTTATGATACAGGGATTTTGTGCATCCTCACTGCCACCTTCCTCCTTTATTGCTCCCCTGGTGTTTGGTTTGGACTTTGATTGCAGCACTTGCTGAGGCTGGTGCTGGAGCCTGTTGAACTGTGAGCTCCTTCAGAGCAGGGACCAGATTTGTTTATCTCAGTATCCCCTGACCCTAGCAGAGCACCTGGCCCGTAGAAGGAACACAGAGAATGTTTGTTGAATTGACTCGAGTTGCAAGTTCTAGACATAGGCAGATTTAAAAGAAAGTCTGTAATACTCAATTATTTCTCTGTCCATAGCTCATAAATCACATTATTAATATTTTAAAAATTAAATTAGGTGATCATGTCATTTGTGAAAAATGACAGTTTTATTTCTTCCTTCCCAGTCTGCCAATCTGTATATCTTTTATTTCCTTCTTTCCCCCCAATATTTGAATTAGTTATGACTCCTAGCGTGCTGTTGAAAAGTAATGGTAAGACAGACATCCTTGCTTTGTTCCTGATCTTAGCTGGAAAGCTTTGAGTCTCTCGCCATTTAGTATGATGATAACTGTGGGTTTTTATAGGTTAAAATTAAAAAAAAAAATTTCAGTTACAGTTGATATACAATATATTAGTTTCAGCTGTACAACATAATAATTAGACAATTATATGTCTTATGAAGTGATCACTCTGTAAGTCTAGTATCCAGCTAACACCATATAGATTTATTTTTATCAATCTGAGGAAGCTGCCCTTTATTCCTAGTTTGCTGAGAGTTTTGATCATACACGGATGTTTGATTCTATTAAATGCTTTTTTGCATCTATTGATGTGATCTTATGATTTTCTTCTTTAGTCTGTTGATATGATAGATTACACAATTGTTTTTTTCATTTTATTTATTTTATTTTTGTTTAAAATATTACAGATGTCCCTTTTTATCCCCAATGACCCATTCTATCCCATCCCACCCCCCTCCCCGTTCCTTCTCCACACCATTGTCTGTGTCCTTGGGTTGTGCATATATGCATATAAATTCTTTGGTTAATCTCTCCCCCTCCACCCAACCACCCTCCTCCGTCCCTCTGAGATTCGTCAGTCTGATCCATGCTTCCATGTCATTGAATCTATTTTGTTCATCAGCTTATTAAGTTCTTTAGATTCCACATATAAGTGAGATCATGTGATGTTTGTCTTTCTCTACATTAATTGATTTTTTCTTGTTGAACTAGCCTTCATACCTGGAATAAATACTACTTGGTCGTGATGTATATAATTCTTTCTATTCATTGTTGGATTTGATTTGCTAATATTTTGTTGAAGATTTTTTGCACCTATGTTCATGAGAGCTATTGGTGCATAGTTTTCTTATGATGTCTTGTTCTGGTTTGGGTATTAGGGTAATGCTGGCCTAATAAAAGGAGCTAGAAAATATTCCCTCTGCTTTAATCATCTGAAAGAGATTATAAGGAATTGGTGAAATTTCTTCCTGAAATGTTTGGTAGAATTCACCAGTGAATCCATTTGTGCTATGAGCTTAGTTATTGATCAGTGAATACTGGGATTAAATGAATATGGCTTTTTATGGAGACATGATTACATTTTGGGGCATTGGAGGGTAAAGCCATAGCCTTGTACGTATGAGAGGGGCTTCACCTGCTGGGAGAAGTTATTCTCTATGTAAAGCAGTTTGGAGTCTCTGCTCAGATCAAAGATCTGTGGGAACTTCCCCCCAAACCACTACTCACTCACCTACAAGCGTGAGCCTGAGCCCCAGGTTTGTATCATATGACCTCCATTCCTATCCTATGGCCACACTTGATTGGACCAGAGATGGACAACTGACATAATTTGGACCAGTCAGATGATCTCTTCAGGGATTTGATATTTCAGACCGAGAGGCAGTTACCCAGTTTCTGCATAGAGTTGGTTGGCATCGAGGTGCCTAGGACACAGGAGTTGTGGACCAGTTGTTGGAGCTAGTACATGAGAGAGGTGTGAAGTTCTGCCTGCTAAGAAAGAAGGGCAAGGTGGAAACTGATCCGGTTGCTGGAAACAAGCAGACAGAGTGGGGCTTAGGGGCTGTGGGATGGAGAAGCTCAGAAGACTCTGCCTGGGGCCCAACAAAAGACAGAGAAAGTGTGGGAGGTATCTCTACCTTCCTCTTAAGAGGGCCAGGCCTTGGCTTGTGTTGGGGTGAGGGAAAGAAAGTGATGCCGAGGCAGAAACAAGGATCCAAGTCTGGGCCGGAGCAACCGAGCTTCCCAACAGGGAGCACTGAGGGCTGAAGGAGGACTGGGTCTAGCCCGCCTCTGCCCCTCCACCCTGTGCCTCGCCCTTTAGTCAGCAGAGGAAAACAACAAATGGAACCCACGGCTTTGCAAACACAAAAAGTCAGACTTTTTAAAAAATATGTTTTTATTGATTTCAGAGAGAGGAAGGGAGAGGGAGAGAGGAAACATCAATGATGAGAGAGGGTCATGGATGGGCTGCCTCCTGCACGCCCCCTACTGGGGATCCAGTCCGCACCCCCGGGCACATGCCCTGACCCAGAATCGAACCGTGTGACATTCCGGTTCATTAAGTGGATGCTCAACCACTGAGCCCCGCTGCCCCGCCAGATAGATTTTATTAGATAGACTTTAATTAGAAGTAAACTGGAGAGTTTTATGTGCAAATGCATTTTGATTTTTAAGACAGAACCACCACCCCACTGTTAACTCTGGTGCGTGCGCGTGTAGGTCAGCGCCCCCTTGCGGCCATGCCTGCGGGAGGGCCCATGCCTTTGGCAGGTCTTAAGGTCTCCTCCGGCCCACCTCCGCGTAAACTGATGAGCTGTGCTCTTCTCTTTCCTTATCATTAGTCATTCCCATCATTCCTTCTCCTTGAATCCTGAACCGCCCTCAGTCATCTTCCTTTTCCCCATCTCCCCAAAGCAAAGGCGCCTGGAATTATGTGGGTGTGGCTGGGGTGGCTCTTGAGGTATCTTAGGCCACAGCTACCCTCTTGAGGTGAAGCTTCAGCTTTCTGAGTCCAGGGGGTAGGAGTACCGGGTGCGGGAGGACCAGAAGCGCAGGACCATGAACACCACGGCTCCGAGCAGCAAGAGGGCGCCCAGGGCCCCAAAGAGAATCCCAAAGAAGGCGCCGAGTTTCACGCTCAGGTGCTCACAGCGCTCGCCCCAGGGCGTATAGATGGAGAAGGGCGCGCAGCTGGGGACAAAGAGAGGGCACGGGTCAGTAGGGGGCAGGCCCGCGCTCAGCCTCGCCACCCCCCCGTCNGCCCCCCGCCCCGAGGAGGTTTTCCACAACAGGCTGCGCTCCGCTTCAGGGCAATAGGCCCAGTCAGCCCTGAGACGGGTGCTGAAGAGAGGGCACCAGGCAAGCAAAGCAACCTGGGGCGAATTCCCCCGGGGTCAGCTCCGGGAGAACGGCGGAGAAAGGCGGGGCTGGCCACAGGTGAGCATGCGCAGTCACCAACCCAACCGCGTCCGGGAGGGCGGGGCCC